GGCTGCCGCTCGCCCTCGCCGCCGAGACCCCCACCTGCGCCCCGCTCGTCCCGGTCACCTTCGACAATGCCACCATCCCTGGGGTAAGCGCTGCCCTCAGCCGGGACGCCCATCCTCGCCTTTCCTACCGGCTCTGACGATAGCAGTTACAGGTCTGGGAAGAGGTTATGAACCCGGTCGGCAGCTGATGCTTATCTCACTGCCTGTCCGGCCTTATTTTCCTAAACAATCAAGACTGCTGCACAGGAGCGTGGGGACAGGGTGAAGCCTTGCAGCGCTGCACCCGTAAATTTGTGAGCAGGCGCTTCTGGCGGGGGGGTGGGTCCTGCTTCCATCTCGCCATGCAAACCAGGCTGGGCAGTGCCGTCCCCAGTGCTTCGCTGGCCTGTTTTAAGCTCTTCGAGTGATGGGGACTGGGGTCACAAGTATCCATCCGCAAAATCCTTCACTGCATGAACAGAGTTTAGTCCTTTGGGGTGTTTAATGCGAGGAAAGCACCGAGAGCTGGGCACAGAGCAAGAGGCACACGACCGCAAGCTGGCTGTCCCAGGAGCTGGAGCGTCACCTCAGCGGGGAGGGGACAAAACCAAGAGCCCCTCAGCCAGCCCGGATCGTGCCCAGGGCGGTCACCTACCCGGGGTGCTCACGGCCGTGGGACAGGGCAGAGTGTTTGTTTTCACTCGCACGGTGCCCACGGGTGAACCCGGCATGGCCCCACCCCAACCCCTCCTCGCTCCCGTCTTCTCCACAGCTCCTGGGATGGTGGTTCTACATCACCGGCGCCTCCAAGTACCCACCTCACCTGGCAGAGCTGAAGGAGGTGAAACACGCGACTTTTTCCTTCTCTCCCAGCAGCCACAAGGACGAGCTCAACGTCACCGAAATCGTGAGACTGTAAGGACAGGGACTCACCCCCTCAACCCCCATCCCCAGGGGCACTTCCACCCACTGGTACCATCCTCTGGGCTGAGCCACCCCCACAAATTTGAGGCTGTAGAGCAGCTATGCCATATTTATTGACGCTCTGAACCCCTTGGGTTTGGTTGGGGCAGTGTGGGGGTGTTTGCCCCATCTGAGCTCTCTGTCCCACAGGAACGAGTCGTGCGTGGTGAGGAACACCAGCAAGATCCAGGTCATTTGGCACAACTCCACCCTGGCGCACGGTAAA